TGCGCAGTGTTTTCACACATACATGCACACTCACACACACACACGCACACACACCCCTCTCTGTCTCCAGCTCGCTCCTTGTGGATGTGGCTTGTTTTTTGCCTGAGCACCCCCACCTCTTTTTCTCTCTCACACACAGTCGCCCTCTCTCTCTCTCTCATTTGCTCTCCCTCGCTGCAGCACACACTGCAGTGCCTCTGCAGCCAGGATCACGTTTTCTAGTTGCCAGAGAAAATATTTCAGCCAATGAGAAACGTTCTCCCTCCCCGGCCCCCAGACCCTCCCTCCTCCCCCTTTAACGTTGCTACACACACACACATAGTATGCGTGCACACACATAAAACACACATCCTCATTTATACATAAGCATGCACACGGCCGTCTGAGATAAGAGGGTGTTTGTGTGCACTGTTTGTGTATAAATGCAAAGGATTTGCACCTAAGTAGTGCATCATACTTCAAATGCAATCTGAACCCACATATGGTTAAGCCGACAGCAAGAAAATACAGCGGGCTGGTGTGAGTAGATCCGGTTGAAAGGGGAGCAGCACATCTGACACAAACAAAATTCATTAATTCAAAGTTAAGTATTTATACTCGTATTCCGCTGAGCTCACATAGCCCGCTCATGTTTGCACAAATGGATTCCCGCAAACATGACCTCAAAGAATTTTTTTTTTTAAACAGAACACAGTGTGCACATGTTCTTCCTTGATACTGTGAATCAAAAACAAACGATTTGACTGCTGAATGTGACACAACAGAGTTTCTATAAATTCACCAAGAAACTTCAAAGCAGCATCCTGTGAGCTCCCAATGCAGATCTGCTCCGTCAGCGTCGTTGCATAACAAAGAGTTTGTATTACAAGTTTTGTATCAGCCCGAGCCTTCATGCCGACCAAATAATCCTCAAATCAAATGTACGAGGGCTGTGCTTATATAACATGGGCAACAGAAGAATAATGTAATGGGAGATAATCTGAACATTAAATAGCTTGTGTTTGAAGGGTTTTTAGCAATCGAGAATGTTTCAACTTGTTATTCTGTTTTAAGGATGATTTGGATTTTTGCTCAACACAGTGATGTAATATAAGTTCCTCAAAAATGTTCTGCGGAGTTTTCTTAGACTATCTCTCATTTATTTTAACTAGCAGCCATTATAAGTAACTGGCAATGTGTGTGTTTAAAATCCCTTTGTTGAAGTTCATGAAAACAAATATTTCTCATTTACATTAACTATTGGGAATCTGACTCCGGATTAGTGGTTGAAGATGAGAGCGAGATTATATATTCCTTACCAGTGTTAGACAGTAATTAATCATAATGTGTTACAGTTTCATTAAGGATTATTTCAGTTATCATTTATCAGCAGTGCATAAACAATAAAAAATTGTTCATTACACAAGGTGGTTAAATCGTAAGCAGATAGAAGAGTTAATTAGTGTAAATGCACAAGTACAGAGAGCAAGCTACCAAAATAGAGAAAAAATATTTAATTTCTGGGGTTTTCGTACTCATGCGACACACTAGCAACATATAGTAATATTACATATAATTAGGGCTGCCAATAGATTAAAAAATGAATTAATTAATTACACATTTTGAAATGAATTAATCACATCTAATCGCTTCCTGCAATTGTTACAATGTTGTTGTTAATGAAAGTATTTTCTAGCTTCTAAAGACTAAATCTTACAAGTAATGAGTAATGACTTTCGGTAGCATATTTGGTGTTTGTCTAAACTCTCCATAATTTGAGGCTGTGTTTGAAGTGACAACAATCTCGCAGGCTAACGTTAGATGCTGAGATGGAAGTAGCCACTAGCTTAGTAATTAGTTTAGCATAGCGGTACTTTAAGTGGTCTGTTTGCCACTCACCCCCCTTCTTTTTGACACTTGGAGGAATTCCTCTGCACAGTTCGCCTCTGTTTTTTTTACTTCCAATGCAAAAAGCTCTCTCCATCTTGAGCTACCGTCTTGCTTTCTCCGAAGCGACTGACTGCAGCTAGCTGCCGTTTCGTTTCCGTTGTCAACTTCCGGTTCCAGACCGGAAGTAAATTGAGTTACGTTAACTACGTTAAAATATTTTATCGCATTAATCTCGGCCACAATTATTGCCTTTAAATAAAAATAAGTGGTCTTTACTGGGATCTAATTAATTACTTAAGTGACCTTCATTTGTATGCATAAAGTCACAATGGGATGTTTGCTCAAATGTATTGGATGGCCCAACCTAGAAAATGTTCCACCAGCTTCCTGAGAGAGAAAGCTAAAAAACAAGGCATTTTTCTACTACTAAACTTAAATTAATGGCAATGTTTATAAGATCCCATGAGAAAAAGCTGCAAGGTATTTTGTTTGTGTAAGAATAGCCCGAGAAAGCTGCTATCATTAACATTTGCAAATGTCAATGGACAAAAACATTACAAAAATGTGTGTGTGGGAGACGGAATTGCCAATGAACTAAGGCTCTATGGCAAGTGAGTAGGGGATTTTTTTTCTCCATGAATAATTTTTCCATTGCTGTCCTAAGAAGTGACACAGTGTGTACTTGTTTTAGAAGTGGGAATGGATGTAGGTTTTGAGCCAATTGGTGTAATTCAGGTGTTGATTGAAGGCAAGTGTGCCCAAGTGTGTTTCCACTATGCTGCATTCATTTGTACTGTACATTTTCTATATTGCTATCAGTATTGAGTATAGTTATGGTTGGATGCTGAACTGCATGAGGTTGCTGTGCTGTATGGTGACATGTTTTAATGTCATCTTAATTGGGCACATTTATGTGAACATGATGAATCATATATTCTGCATTGAGTTTTGAGAACTCCTCAACCAGACACGTTTTTTAAAGTTTTTTATTTTTACATAGACAATTAGACATCCATACTCACACCAAGTTCAAAATGTATGTTTTGCTGAATAAAGCAATATTGATTTTGACTTCCTTTGAGATTAACTTTTCTTTTGAACTGCAGGAGTGCTGTACAATTGCAGTAAATACAAAAGAGTTCCATATTTTGTGAGTATCAATCCCAAACAGTTGGAATTTAAAAGGAATTGCGGCCCTGATATCTATCTACAATGCAAGGTTTTAACTCTTGTCCGGTTTGGAGTTATAGAGTTAATAGTCCTGTGTAATGACGCTCTTGCACCACTACGAGGCCGTCTTATATTACAGTTTTGTATACTGTGTATTTTTTTTATCTAACTCACTGATCCCTTATTATTACATTTGCATTGTTTGTGTAATGCGTAGATTTTGGAGTGATTTCACGGCTGAAATGAAAAATAAATATCAAAATGATCTACTTTGACACGGGAGAATATTCTAAAATGCTTTTAAAAAAATATTACATTTTGAGAATCATTAAGTAAGAGGGGTATTTAGGCCACTGTGGATTGAGACGAGCCTCACTGTGCTCAGAGCGGGTTAAGTGGAGACGGATATGAAAATGGCATATGGATGTATAAGACGAGTTGCTATTAAAAAGTGTAAATACGTTATTTCATTTAGGCTTCTCTGTCTATTATAATCGATTCAACTTTTGAAGATTACAGAATTCAAAGCATGTCTTCATTACTCATTCCATGACTAACAATGGCAGACAGATGGGGTTTGGATCCCCAGCACTACAACAAAAATCTCTCTGACTGAGAGCCAGTTGAGTTTCCATTTTGGTGCACTTAGTCACCACACAGGTCAGCAGAATCACTGCCAGACGTATGATTCAAACGCATATCAAAGTTATATAAGGAGAATTAGGCAGGTGTAAAAGAGCCGAGAACTAAGCGTGCCATTGCAAGGCATAAATCATAAATCATTCAACAGTGGTGCACATATTCAAGGCCTACATTAGTGCACATTAACCACGGAGTTAGTGATAAGAGCAAGACAATCAATGTGTCGCAATGAGAATTATTAACAGTGCATTGAAAAGTGTTCACGTCTGCTTTTAGCATTTCCAATAAACAAAAGACAAAATTTACCTCAATAAGGGCAGATTTCACCAGAAATTGCATACGCAATCAAACAAACAGAAAACCAGTGTCTCACATGTTCAGCAGTGACCCACCGGACTCAAGCGAAGAGTGAAACATTCTGTGTAATTCACAAACCTACTTCCCTGAGTTGTTTTGAGTTGTTTTTATTCATTAACACCTAAAACAACTCAGTAAGTATTTAAGGAGGAAAAGCGGCTGTGGACTTTGAGCACAGATAATGGGAAAAAAGGCTTTTGTTTCCTGAGGAAGCCAAAAAAAATGTAATTGCTGGAAATGTTAACATCTTCAATCTTGTCTAACTTTGCATTCATCATCTATTACAGGTTGAAGATGCATTCAAGTTTGGCAAGTAATCTTAACAACACCATAATGGACATAAGTTAATCCACTTTCTCATCACTTACATGTAAACTACGAGGTCCAAGGGACAGTGGGAATTTATATTTCCAGTTAATACATAGTCAAATTAAACAAAATAACTTGCTAGTAGCAGTGAAAGTGGACTTTCCAGTAAACAAGTGTGAGTCACCATGCATATTAGTTTGGTTTACTGTTTTACTTTCAGCTGCTACATTTACATCAGAGCAGTAAACACTGGTAAAATATTTGTAAAAGCGCACACGGATATGCTTTCAAGAAAAGATCTATAGTTCAGTAGTCATATATGGCATTCACACAGTAATTATCATACCATTTGGAAAAGTCTGCCATTCATCTGTATAAGAGGGTTGCAAAAGGTTATGAAACATGACATATGTAGTCGTACAATACAGTCATACATTTAAATATAAATTATCCAAGAGCATTTGGGGCCAACCAAGTTTCTTTAACCGAAAAACCCATGAAGGAAAACGGCCACACACAGGAGGATGATGGCGTTTGCATTGACAACGTTCCTCCATAGAGGCACCTCGGAGGTGTCTGTGAGCTTCTTCTGCAACTCCGCCTGCTCCTCTGGACTCAACGTGGGAGCCTTTTCCTGATCCAGGCCACAGAAGCACATCACCGCCTTCTTGCACAAGCCGGGCTCCTCCACGTGCTCTTAAGATGGAAGAGACAAAGGCGATGTTGAAAATCTGCTCGGGTTTGTGTTTTATATATGTAAATACTAGATGTCTGCCGAATACCTTCTATTTCCATATCGTTGGACTCTTGGTTATCGATCCAATCATCCTGTTCGATGTCCACCCTCTCCTCTGTACGGTTCCTCAGGCTCCAGCACAGTCGATACAACTAGACAGTCGACACAACACATTGAAATACATTATTTACAAAGTTGGCTATTTATGCGTCTACCAGTGACGATGGGAGATTATTGATCTGTCCTTATGTCACAGTGGTCACGTACATGCTTGTCCTCAATGGGTTTGGTCATGAGAGAGATTCCCACGATGATGATACAGGAGACAACAAACAGGATGATGGAGAAGTAGAGGTAGTGGACTCCACATATGATGGTGGGACAGTTACTGGGGCTAATGCAGCTGCCTGTCCCATAAATAAACTCTGTAATCATCCTGGAGAGGCCGATTAGCAGGCCGATCACGAGGCCATAAAATGCACCCTGGAGAAACAAGTAAATAGGAAAAATTCTCAGTACACGTATTAGGATAAGGTCTTTCAAAAGAGTTTTTCACCTCTTAATTTAGGTGTGATACCTACCATAAAGAACCAAACACAAAGTTCAACTGAAGCTGTAAGCAATATTCAAGTAGTATTACAGGGATTGGGTCATAAACCCAAGCATTTGACAAAAATTAAAGTCATGTGATTTGATAACGAGACTTGATAAATGGTACACGATGAAAAGGATCATCAAAATGATTACAATTGAAAAGGGACAGCGTTCCCTCTCCCTTAGAGGAGCAGGAAGGTCTAACAGAGCTCTTTGGAGGAAGTAACTGGAACAGGAGGACACAGGTGTGAAGGAATGCACATTTTCGGCCACCCCCAACCCCCCACTCACTTATGGGCAAAGGTCACAGAGTTCCCAAGAGAACTCACAGTGTCCAATAAGATAAATATTTACGTACAGTTCATATATTAATGTTTAAGTCTGGAAGTAAGTGGTGGGCCGACCGATACAACTAAATGAATCCATTTAGCAGGTAATACACTCTGTTAAGCCACAGAACCCGCACAAGACTACATTGAACAGGATCCAGCTGACATGTATAGCTGATATCAAATATACAAAATGCAGATTGCATGTGGAGTCATTGTGCTTACGAACATGAAACCAGGCCAAGAGGAAGCTGGAGAAATGAGCTGAGACAGCACTGGCAATATAATGAGTGAGAGGGAGTTGGACCAAATCATAAATCCCTCAATGGCCTTTGTGATTACGTGATTATGTGGATAGGCGGTGGTCCATCTACTAATGACTGACAGATCAGCTGATGGCATGTATGACACCATAATTGCCATAACCAATATGAGGACCATAAGGGTAGAAAAGTTCACGGTTGCCAAAGACCTTTGGTCAGTAATTACTTAAAGATTGTGACAATGGACTGACGTTTACCAAAAAGCAAGTCCTTTCATCATCAGGTGTACCCTAACCCTGTTGGGCTGTTAGTCCACCTAGGTCCAGACTGAAACATCCCAATAACTAATAGATGGAGTTCCATGACATTTGGTACATAAATTCACATTTGGTACATGAATTCCTGAAGCCCAGAGTGTAAAGTTGAACGATTTGGGGAATTTTCCAATACTTTGGATTTCATCATTGTCAGTTGTCAATGTCAATTGTCAGCTGTACTTTGTATTTTGTGCTAATAAGCATGGTTGCTTAAAACAGCAAAGATTGTACCCGCTCAACTTCAAGGAAATAAAGGGACGACTGAAAGGGAAAACTCACAGACTCATTGACACGCTTGCAGAAGATGGCGAGGATGAAAACAGCGGCGACAGGTGGCGTGAGGTAGCTGGTGATGGACTGGATGTAGTCGAAGAGCTGACCACTCTGGGCTGATTGCACCACAGGGATCCATGCGATGCTCACCCCAATCAGGGCCAAGATAAACAATCTACGCACAGACACAGATATTGGCAGTGAGGCATGCATGAACCGTATCGCTGTCACGTAATTAACAGGAACCCTGATGGGTTTTACCTGCCAGCAATCATGAGTTCCCTTTCACTGGCCCTGCTGCGTATCTTAGTGTAGATGTCCATTGTGAAGAGAGTGCTGGCACTGTTGAAGATGGAGGTGAGCGAGCTCATCAGAGAGGCCATCATCACCGACAGCATGAGACCGCGCAGACCTGAAACAGACAGAGAAACGGATTCAAATGGGGAACCCCAAAAAAATCCACCTTTGTATTCTGAGCTCGCAAGACAAACATTTTTTAGCCACTCACCATTAGGCATGAGATCCACCACCAGTTTGGGATACGCGATGTTGGTGCAGCCGACACTGGCATCACAGAACTCTTGACATTTAATCGGATCCACACATGCCACCTCATCTTGAATGTAAGGAATACGATCAGCGAGATATTGAGGAAGATATGGAATCCCCCATTTGATCTACAATACTTGCAGACGGTAGGCTTGCGTCTGCCAACACCAGTCCCATTACGGACTCACCCACCTGGATAGAGGATCCTGCTTATCATCCCTGGAAACACCATGAGGAACATAGGCAGCAGCTTCAGGTAGCCGCACAAGATGCAGCCTGCCTTAACGTGAGATAAATTCTTAGCGGAGAGGCAGCGCTGGACAATCACCTACAGGAAATGTCACAGACGGAAAAAAGATAAGTAGTGCCATAATGCACTCAATAAAAAAAAGCATATTATTGACTCTAAACCGGTGAAGTGAATACATCACTTAAGCCAAAGCAGCCAATTGGATATGCTTGGTGATAAGTATTCTCCCCCGAGCAGGGATAAAGGCAGACGGCGATGTGTGTATCTGTGTGCCGGATGTCAACATTTAAATTTGCATCTACTTCTTTGCTGAGATCAAGCAATACTCCGTCCGTTAATCTTATCTCAGTCATTGGGAGTGCATTAGGGTCCAACTAAAAGCATGTCCCTTTTCATACTGAAGGCAACCTAAGACCGCTTGAATGAGTCTGGCCAAAACAGGTATAAATATGGGCACATCAAATGAATGAGTCAGTGCCTGCGTGCGTGTGTGTGGGCGGGTGAGTATTTATGACCATGGATTGTGGCAATGCAAACGCCCAACAGCATTTTCTGGAACTGACCTGATCCGTGCACCAATACCAGGTGGCCTGAATGGTGAGTCCAAAGATGAGGCCGGGCCACGGCAGGTCCCCTGTAATCGCGTTCCTGAAAATATGGAAGGAGTCTTCCCGAGGCTCGTAACAGCTCGCGCTGACGTTAACTCTGTCCGCGGGAATGGCCTCCATGTAGCGCTGCTGGAATTGTTCATAGCCTCCCACCTCATTGAAAGCTGCACATGTGTCTCAGTTAGACTGACTTAATCTTTTTTTTTATTTAGTGTCAAAAACAGGATGTGTCAAGTCAAAATGCACAAAAGAGTGTAATGAAGTTACCAAAGCCCATAAGGATGAACGATCCAATAACCATGATGATTGTCTGTAAGGTGTCTGTGTAGATCACTGCAGCCAATCCACCTGAGACACAGCATGTAAGGCTATGAGTGTAAGACTCTTCCATTCCAAAAAACATGTTTTAACACCACTGATGTACATCAGCCACACATCAACACAACTTACTAGAGAGAACTGTTAATTGAAGATTAACAGATTCATTATGGCAAATGTATTTGTATTTTGTACTGTGCTTGTTTTGTGTAAGTGATCATTAACTGTAGAGTATACGTTCTTACAAAACGGCAACAGAAGGCCATTTCCTGCTTATCGCAGCCTACGGGTAATTAACCACACAAACACACTGGACAGGAGAAGATTGTGTGCATGTATCTCTATAAATTGTCTTCAGAAGACTTTACCCTCTGCCGTATAGCCAACATTCTCTAAAGTAGATAAGCTTTTGTTTATGAGTTTGGTGGAAAAGGTAGAGAATCCACCCTGAGGAGACAGACCTGTGACGGTGTACAGGGCGGTAATCAATAGAAGCATGACGACAGCAAGGTAGATATTCAATCCAAGTGCCTGGTTGATAAAAATGGCTCCAGAGAACATGTCTGCCTGAGAGGGGAGGAGAGGGGCAAGCACATCCTTTCAATCAATGACGGGAAATGCAATGTTGACATAAAGGACATCACCCAGGGTGACGGCGCCACGACTTACTGAGATCTTGGTGAAAACATACAGAAAGAGGGACAGCACAGAGAGATAGATGCGAATACGCTGTCCTCCAAACCTCTTCTTCAAGTACTCCGGCATGGTGACCACCTAAAGTCATATACAGTGGATTAAGTTTTCATTTGTGATGGTCTGACTTTTGTCTTCTAATGTTGTTGTTTTACGTCCCAACAGTGTGTTCTGTTTACCCCGGCTTTAATGTAGATGGGCACAAAGAGCCAAGCCAGAATGATGACCACTACAAGAGCCTGAAACATTCAAACATACAGAGAGGTTTACCATAAATAAGCTATACACCCAAAAGGCTGGTCTAAGAAGTGAAAAAATTTCACTTTAGACACAATTACTCACATTCCACTCAAATCCACCAATGGCAATTCCCCCGGCTGCAGCAGTCCCAGCGATGCCTACAAAGTGGCCACTGCCAATGTTGCTGGCAAACAGTGATGCGCCAATCTGGGGAGTGCATAGTTATCATTACTACAAACAACTTTCTATGAATAATATGCATCCTTTCTTTTTTTTACATGTTATAGGTAGCACAAGCAACAAGAACCTCCTATCATGAGATACCCACCGGCCACCACACCATACTCCTCCCCGCCAGGAAGAAACCACCTACTGTGGATCGGTTGGTTCGGACCATGGCCTGAAACAGCACAAGGGCACATTTTAGAAAAAACAAGTATTTGAGCAAAACAGAAAGAGACTTGATAAATGTGTCTCATCACACTGTAGCAACTAAATGCTAAATAATCTGACCTGCAGTGAGATACTGTGAACCAGGTTGTTTAGTAAGATGCTGCAATGGAACAATATGAGTCAAACCCATTGCAGATCATTTATGCTAAAAAACAACACCTTTGTTGCAAAAAGTGAGATGCCTTTTATATAAAAAAATAAATGATCATTATCCTGACTTTGCTTATTCTCTTTCTCAAGGCTCAATAGAGACTTCTTCTTCTTATATTGACGTAAAACAAACTACAGATCTCCAAACTGTGGTACTGCCTAGTTAATTATTCACAGACGAAAACGATTTTCCACAACGTTCAACTAAAGGTACGAGCAACTCACCCATACTCCAACAGCCAAGACAACCAAGAAGTAAATCACGATGACAGAGATATCTGCAGCGTTGTTAAGCACCACCGTGCCATTGCTGTTTCTTGCATTGTTTCTTGTCAAGGAGAATCCCAAATAATCCTGAGCCATTTCGCTGAGAGGGTGACCAGAGAACACGAGCGTTGCTGGAGTGTCTCCTCTTTGACTGAAGCACCTGCACGGACACTTATGTACCTTCTGGAGGAGGTGTGTTTGAGTTGAGAACAATGGGAGGGACGCAGTGTGTTCGTCTAACAAATGGCCAGATATTGGGTTTTATTGAAAGGGTGTTAGGATCTGAAAATAAACCTTTGCAGGTGCCTTACGGTGTTTGTGTAAATTTATGTGTCGTAATGTTTCAGCAAATAGAAAATTGCTGTAAATGATTGACGAGGAAAACCACAAGGAAAGGAATAGGTGGATTTTCTGCCTTCAGCAACACTGCAGCCGAATTTAACTGAATTCAAGCACACACAATTATTCACTAAACTTACGCAGTTTATTCTAAAACAATTCTAAAAGAAAATCGCACTGTTTCTTTAGAATAAACCAACATGTGGACTCCACCAGCTTATATATACTGGATATACGTCATTCTCCCTCTCTATATGTCTATATTGACTTATGTTCACACAATAGCAGAGGAATCTAGTGAGAGGCCACAATGAACAACTTCAGATACTATTATTCATCTTCCAAAATCTCTAAATTAAAATGAGACTTTTAGAGATTTTTATCTCTAAAATATTGTCTCATTTACAGTAAGTTGTTACAAATGCACTTATCGACTTCCCTCTACAGCCAGTGAACACTAAAATCTTTTAAGGACGTCACAGAAGAGACAAAAAATGTTTAATACCCATCTAAAATACAAACCAATGTATCGAATTGTACGAACATTGAAAGAAGATACAAGCATCCACTAGGTGTCTCTACAGGACCGCTAAACTAATCTGATTCAGATGATTATTAAATTATACATATTCAAGGGTGTTCTGTAGTATTTGCTTCGTTTTACTTAATATTCCTTGTATGCTGCTTCATTCACCAACTCCTATAGTGATATATCACATATCAACAATTTTGTTTAAATAAATTATCATAGATGAACCAAAAACACAATTAATATTCTGAAATGTACTTAGTCTTTACTTTTACTTATTGGATTAAAGGCTAACATTTTAAGAACGTCACAGAGGAGACAAAAAAAAGTTATACACCATCTAAAATACAAAACAATAAATCAATGTACGAACATTAAAAGAAGATGTAAGCATCCAGATGTTTCTATAGGACCACTAAACTGATCTAATTCAGGTGTTTAGAAATGACACAGATATCAGGATCAGGAATCAGGAAATATTCATTACCAAAATATGTCTTGGCGGTTGGTGCATAACATGAGACAGTAAGACAATGGACAACAAGACAGATAAGACAAACAGGATTTACAAATTTACAATTTGGTTGGTTGAGCTGTGGGTGATGGAGTCAGGACATTGACAATCAAATCTGCAGTAGAATTTGTTCAGCTTGTCTGCCAGGTGGAGGTCATTCATGTAGTGGGGGGGGGGGGGGGAGAACCGAAGCCAGAGTCATTTGCTGAGAACTGTTGGTGAAGTTTCTCAGAGTACAGTCGTGTACCATCTCTCACCGCCTTGCTAAACCTGTATGTTGACTCGGTGTACAAGTCCTTGTCCCCACTTCTAAATGCCTGATCCTTCTGCAGACGTAGTTTTCTGAGTTCCGCTGTGAACCAGGGTTTGTCGTTAGCTCACCCTGGTGCATGATGGTACGCAGCTGTCCTCACAGAAGACAATGCAAGAAGTCACAGCATCCATGAACTCATCCAGACTGTTGGTAGCCATCCGGAAAACATCCCAGTTTGTGCAGTCCAATGACAGTCGGCGAGTGTCCGCTGTGCCTCGTGCCCGTTTCCCGCCGGCGGCATGTGAACACCGACCACGATGAATGAAGCGAACTCACGGGGGGAATAAAAGGGTTTACAGTTAATGATGAAGGATTCCAGATCAGGATAACAGTGTTGTAGGATCACCGTTACGTCGTTGCTGTTGGAGTAGACGCCGATTCCTCCACCCTTAGTCTTGCTGGAAACCCGCCAGCTGGAGCGCGAAGTCCGGTATCGATCCACAGAGCCACGTCTCCGTGCAGCACAAAACGGAGGATGCAGAAAAGTCTCTGTCTCTCCTCACAGCAGCTGAAGTTCGTCCAGTTTGTTGCACAGAGCGCACGTTGGAGAAAAAGATGCCCGGTGAACGAGAACCACGCGGTGCACCAATGAGCCGGCCCGTTTTCCTCTCCTACGGCGCCTCACCGCGGGGGTCGCCACCCATCCCTTACAATACGGATTCGTCCCGTATTTTGGAATAAAATAGGAATCAATGCGGGACGGGGTTTGTCCTGTATTTTCCAAGTTGTCGCCAAAGTACCGACGAGAGTGGGAGAAATCACCGGGATCGTCGAGTCGCCATCTTCCAGTGGTACTAACTAACGGTAAGTAACTGTAGTATTCACTTCGTTTACTTGTGATCATCCTTGTATGCTGCTTTAATACAACTCCCATTTTAGGCAGATGTATTGATATATCACAGTCACATATTTTTAGGCGAATATTGTATTTCTTCTTTAAGCATATTTTTATGCAGAACGTTTATATACAGACGTATTACTTAAAATGCTGTCTTCTCGCCCCACTATTTGTTCTCCAATCATATTCTGCAACACATCTGAGGAACAATCCTTTGAGTATTTTTTTTTTAAATGTGGAACTCTGTGCAGGTTAAACAGAGGTGTATTTGTTAACATTAATTATGGCCCTGTTTCATTAAGGTGAACCGGGATTCTGGTACTAGGCATACTGGCTCACTGGAATGACTACACCTCTGTTTAGCCTGTTAGGATCAACCAAAGTGGCTGCAGTGAAAAGGGGCCTAAAAGTCGAGAGACCTGATTTGAATTCTTCTCCGGGGGACATTCAGCGCATGAATGAGCGCTCCCTCCTCTCATGTGGCATAACGTACATTGTTGTCACTGTTATCGCCTTGTATAGTCAGGTGACATCGGGTCATTTCCAGCATAGCGCCGCCCAACTTCAACTGACCGGATCGTCTCATCTGTCAGGCTAATCAGAGGCACCTTGATGTACCTTTTGTGTGCAGACGGGTCCCCAGAGGGGCTTCAACATGCAATGGAATTTGGTTTTAAAAAGAGAAAATATAATTGGAAAAATCTTGTTGTTGAAACCCAGAAGTACATAGTAGCTGCCCTAATACTTACAAGTATAATATTTGTATAAGCTGTAGTATAAACACAAGGTAAGCAATATCCCTATAGTAAGTACATCTTACTCTAGTCATAAACTAATTAAGAGGACAATTAAGTAATTTGATCATGTAATTAAATGGCCTTAAATCCACAAAAAACACATCTAATGTGCACTGTGATTGGTTTACTGAAGGCAGAATTGCAGCCGTTGGACCTAAATGTCTCGCAACTCAATGTAAACAGGGCTTCAAAACGTTTTTGTTGTGTTAATGTTCCACCTCAGAATGACTGGATAAAAAAAAAACACACACAAAAAACCCCCAAGCCATCTGGGTGACCACTGCAGCCTTCGCCGGAAATGTAACACACAAGAGAGGTAAGGGAGTGATATGGGGGAGTCATCAGACTGATACGTTTACAAATGGCTGCTTGAAATCTCTAAATAGGGACAATCGATATTCACTTGAATGAGAATCAATGATTGAAATGAGGCCAGTGCGCTGGAGGGATTAGGCCTCAGTCATACGCACCGATATCAGTCCTGAAAGGAGCCTCTGAAAGTACAACCCTCCCCGACAGGTCCACCCCTTCTCAGAGATATTTCATTTTGTGTGGCCTATTTTGTATGAATATTCACTGAGATTGAAAATCAGATAACGCTGGAGGTTCTGTGGTTGGAGCTTGAAACACAAACATAGCAAACCCCAGTGCAGCAAACACTACCAATTAGCGTAAGAAAAGAATCTCTTGCAGAAGTAACTCCACATCGGGCTTAGTCCAGGGTTCTGTTTCAGATAAAGTGTTAAAATGTATGGCACAAATATTTATCATGTTTACATTACATTTGTTTTCACATCAGCCAAGTTTTTCTGTCTGTTGCTACCCAGGACGCTTTTCAAAACAATCCAACATTGTAAACACATTAACAACAATTTAGCATTTATATTTCCAGCTAATACATTATAAAATTAACAACAACTTGCTAGTTGCAGTGAAAGTGGACTTTCCAGTAATCACGTGTGAGTCACCCTGCATATTAGTTTGGTTTACTTTCAGACGCCACATTTACAGCAGAGCAGTAAACACTGGTAAACTATTTGTAAAGGTGCACACGCATATGCTTTCATATGCGTGTGCACCTTTATGGTATTCATACAGTAATTATGATACCATTTGGAAAAGTCTGCCATTTCTCTTTTTAAAAGGTTGTGAAACATGACATATGTAGTCGTACATTAGTCATACATTTAAATAGAAATAATCCAAGAGCATTTGGGGCAAACAGAGTTTCTTCAACCGAAATACCCATGAAAGAAAACGGCCACACACAGGAGGATGATGGCGTTTGCATTGACAACGTTCCTCCATAGAGGCACCTCGGAGGTGTCTGTGAGCTTCTTCTGCAACTCCGCCTGCTCCTCGGGACTCAACGTGGGAGCCTTTTCCTGATCCAGGCCACAGAAGCACATCACCGCCTTCTTGCACAAGCCGGGCTCCTCCAAGTGCTCTTAAGATGGAAGAGACAAAGGCGATGTTGAAAATCTGCTCGGGTTTGTGTTTTATATATGTTAATACTAGATGTCTGCCGAATACCTTCTATTTCCATATCGTTGGACTCTTGGTTATCGATCCAATCATCCTGTTCGATGTCCACCCTCTCCTCTGTACGGTTCCTCAGGCTCCAGCACAGTCGATACAACTAGACAGTCGACACAACACATTGAAAGACATTATTTACAAAGTTGGCTATTTATGCGTCTACCAGTGACGATGGGAGATTATTGATCTGTCCTTATGTCACAGTGGTCACGTACATGCTTGTCCTCAATGGGTTTGGTCATGAGAGAGATTCCCACGATGATGATACAGGAGACAACAAACAGGATCATGGAGAAGTAGAGGTAGTGGACTCCACATATGATGGTGGGACAGTTACTGGGGCTAATGCAGCTGCCTGTCCCATAAATAAACTCTGTAATCATCCTGGAGAGGCCGATTAGCAGGCCGATCACGAGGCCATAAAATGCACCCTGGAGAAACAAGTAAATAGGGAAAAACTCTCAGTACACGTATTAGGAAAAGTCTCCAGCTAAGATAGCGGCTGAGTGGTGCTACATTCTGGCTCAAACACCCACTATGCACCCACTAACCGGGAGATTTTAAAGAGATATAATGTGTGTAATTTAGGTGTGATACCTACCATAAAAAAACAAATATAAAGTTGAGGCTGTAGGCAAAATCCAAGTAGTATTACAGGGATTTGACAAAACGAAAGTCATGTGATTCGATAAAGACATGATAAAAGCTACACAATGAAAATGATCATCAAAATGATTACAACCCCCCCACACTCAGTTATGGGTAAAGGGAGTCACAGTTTCCAAGAGAACTCACAGAGTCCAATAAGATCAAATTTTCCTCAACAGTTCATGTATGAATTGTTCAGTCTGGAATTAAGTGGTGGACGGACCAATACAACTAAATGAATCCATTTAGCAGGTAATATACTAAGGCACAGAACCCTCACAAGCCTACATTGAATAGAATCCAGCTGACATGTAAAACTCCTATGAAATATACTAAATGCAGATTGCATGTCAAGTCATGGTGCTTACGAACATGAAACCAGGCGAGGAGGAAGCTGGAGAAATGTGCCGAGTCAGCACTGGCAGTATAGTGAGTGAAAGGTTGTCGGTCAGATCATAAAACCCTTGTCCCTGGCCTTTGTGATATATGTGATTATGTGAATAGGCAGTAGTCCATCCGCTAATGACTGACAGATCAGCTGATTACATGCATCACACCATTACATTGCCATAACCAATATGAGGACCATAAAGATAGAAACGTTCACGGCGCACTACAACTTTCTCAGGACAACACAAGATTACACAAAAAGTAAAAATAAAAATGTTACCAAAGACTTTTGGCTAGTAATTACTTTAAAATATTCATAATGGACTGACGTTTACCAAAAAACAAGTCCTTTCATCATCTTAGGTCCAGACTGAAACATTACATTTATATTACAGGTCGTTTAGCTGACGCTTTTATCCAAAGCGACTTACATTTAAACCCACGGCTTTTACTTTTGGCCCAGGGAGCAATTAGGGGTTAGGTGTCTTGCTCAGGGTAACTTCAACTTGAGACATGGGGCAGCCGGGACTCAAACCTCCAAGCCCAGAGTGTAAAGTCGAACGATTTGGGGAATTTTCCAATACTTTGCATTTCATCATTGTCAACTGTATTTTGTGCTAATAAGCATGGTTGGTTAAAACAGCAAAGATTGTACCCGCTCAACTTCAAGGAAATAAAGGGACGACTGAAGAGGAAAACTCACAGACTCATTGACACGCTTGCAGAAGATGGCGAGGATGAAAACAGCTGCGACAGGTGGCGTGAGGTAGCTGGTGATGGACTGGATGTAGTCAGTGAGCTTACCACTCTGGGCTGATTGCACCACAGGGATCCATGCGATGCTCACCCCAATCAGGGCCAAGATAAACAATCTACGCACAGACACAGATATTGGCAGTGAGGGATCCATGAACCGTATCGCTGTCACGTAATTAACAGGAACCCTGATGGATTTTACCTGCCAGCAATCATGAGTTCCCTTTCGCTGGCCCTGCTGCGTATCTTAGTGTAGATGTCCATTGTGAAGAGAGTGCTGGCACTGTTGAAGATGGAGGTGAGCGAGCTCATCAGAGAGGCCATCATCACCGACAGCATGAGACCGCGCAGACCTGAAACAGACAGAGAAACGGATTCAAATGGGGAACCCCCCAAAAAAGCTGCCGTTTGTATTCTGAGCTCTCAAGACAAAAATACTTTAGCCACTCACCATTAGGCATGAGATCCACCACCAGTTTGGGATACGCGATGTTGGTGCAGCCGACACTGGCATCACAGTATTCTTGACATTTAATCGGATCCACACATGCCACCTCATCTTGAATGTAAGGAATACGATCAGCGAGATATTAAGGAAGATATGGAATCCCCCATTGGATCTACAATACTTTCACACTGGGCTTGCATCTGCCAACACCAGTCCCATTACGGACTCACCCACCTGGATAGAGGATCCTGCTCATCATCCCTGGAAACACCATGAGGAACATAGGCAGCACCTTCAGGTAGCCGCACAAGATGCAGCCTGCCTTAACGTGAGATAAATTCTTAGCGGAGAGGCAGCGCTGGACAATCACCTACAGGAAATGTCACAGACGGGAAAAATATAAGTAGTTGTCATGCTGTCAGCCAGTCACTCCAGCAGCTCCCTTGTGTTTCCTTTCTTTTTGCCTGTGTTTTACCGTGTCTGCCAGCAAGGAGGCGTAGCCATGTCCTGCTCATCCTTGGAGGTGGTAGCTGGAACACCTGACGGCAATCAGCCATCAGGGGACTCCCCTTTTTTAGCCAGGGTCTTTCTGCTATTCATTGCCAGATAATTTTGTCGCCAAAGTGGTAGAGACGCATTCAGGCCGTCTTGTCACTTATTTGGCTTTAACGCTTGTTTTTTGCCCTAGTGTTCTGCAATCCTTATACCTGCCTGCTTGCTCTCTGATGTCATTACCCCCAACAGACTAAACCCTGCCCTGTGCCCTAAAAGCATGTCACTCTTCGTAATGCAGGCCACATAAGACCGCTTGAATGAGTCCAGCAAAAACAGGCATGAAATTGGACACATCGTGTGCGTACAATTGTGTTGTTATCAATTGAATGAGTTTGTGCGCGTGTGGGTGGGTGAGTATTTATGACCATTGATTGTGGAAATGCGAACGCCCAACAGCGCTTTCTTCAACTGACCTGATCCGTGCACCAATACCAGAGGGCCAGAATGGTAAGTCCAAAGACGACGCCGGGCCACGGCAGGTCCCCTGTAATCGCGTTCCTGAAGATGTGGAAGGCGTCTTCCCGAGGCTCGTAGCAGCTCGCGCTGATGTTTACTGTGTCCGAGGGGATGGCCTCCATGTAGCGCCGCTGGAAGTTTTCATAGCCTCCCACCTCATTGAAAGCTGCACATGTGTCTCAGTTAGACTGACGTAACAACTTTTTTGGGGGGTTACTGTCACAAACAGGATGTATCTTGTCAATACAAAAAGGAAATTACCAAAGCCCATAAGGATGAACGATCCAACGATCATGATGATTGTCTGTAAGGTGTCTGTGTAGATCACTGCAGCCAATCCACCTGAGACACAGCATGTAAGGTTATGAGTGTAAGACTCTTCCATTCCAAAACAACACATTTTAACACCACTGATGTACATCAACCACACATCCACCCAACTTACTGGATATAGCTTTGTAAATGTTTTTATTTTTGTATTCATATTTGGCACTATGCTTGTTTTGTGTAAGTGATCATTCACTGTAAAGTATACATGTTTACAAAACAGCAACAGAAGACCATTGCCTGCTTATCGCAGCCCACGGGTAATTAACCACATAAACACACTGGACAGGAGAAGATTGTGTGTATGTATCTCTATAAATGGTCTTCAGAAGACTTTACCCTCTTCCGTATAGCCATTCTCTAAAGTAGATAAGCTTTCGTTTATGAGTTTGGTGGAAGAGGTAGAGAATCCACCCTGAGGAGACAGACCTGTGACGGTGTACAGGGAGGTAATCAATAGAAGCATGATGACAGCAAGGTAGATATTCAATCCAAGTGCCTGGTTGATAAAAATGGCTCCAGAGAACATGTCTGCCTGAGGGGGGAGGAGAGGGGCAAGCACATCCTTTCAATCAATGACAGAAAATGCAACGTTGACATAGAGGACATCACCCAGAGCGACGGCGCCGCGACTTACTGAGATCTTGGTGAAAACGTAGAGGATGAGGGACAGCACAGAGAGATAGATGCGAATACGCTGTCCTCCAAACCTCTTCTTCAAGTACTCCGGCATGGTGACCACCTAAAGTCATGTATAGTGGATTAGGCTTTTATTTGTGATGGTCTGACTTTTGTCTTCTAAAATGGTTGTTTTACGTCCCGACAGTGTGTTCTGTTTACCCCGGCTTTAATGTAGATGGGCACAAAGAGCCAACCCAGAATGATGACCACTACAAGAGCCTGAAACATTCAAACATACAGAGAGGTTTACCATAAATAAGCTATACACTCAAACGGCTGGTCTAAGATGTGCAATTTTTGTATTGACTCATTGGACAAAATTACTCACATTCCACTCCATTCCACCAATGGCGATTCCCCCGGCTGCAGCAGTCCCAGCGATGCCTACAAAGTGACCACTGCCAATGTTGCTGGCAAATAGTGATGCTCCAATCTGGGGAGTGCATAGTTATCATTATTACAAACAACTGTCTATGAATTTTATGCATCCATTCATGCTTTCTTTTTTTTTACCACTTGATGTAACATGTTATGAGTACCACCAGCAATAAAAACCTCCTATCATGAGATACCCACCGGCCACCACACCATACTCCTCCCCGCCAGGAAGAAGCCACCCACTGTGGATCGGTTGGTTCGGAACATGGCCTGAAAAGTGAGATGCCTTTTATGTCAAAACATAAATGATCATTTTTGACTTTGCTTTATTCTCTTTCTCATGGCTCAATAGAGACAAACTACAGGTACTGCTGTGGTACTGCCTATAGTTACTGATTCACAGAGAAAAATTATTTTACACAACGCTCAAATAAAAGTACGGGCAACTCACCCATAATCCAACAGCCAAGACAACCAAGAAGTAAATCACGATGACAGAGATATCTGCAGCGTTGTTAAGCACCACCGTGCCATTGCTGTTTCTTGCATTGTTTCTTGTCAAGGAGAATCCCAAATAATCCTGAGCCATTTTGCTGAGAGGGTGACCAGAGAACAGAGTGTCTCCTCTTTGACTGAAGCACCTGCACGGACACTTATGTATCTTCTGTAGGAGGTGTGTTTGAGTTGAGAACGATGGGAGGGACGCAGTGTGTTCGTCTAACAAATGGCCAGATATTGGGTTTTATTGAAAGGGTGTTAGGATCTGAAAATAAACCTCTGCAGGTGACTTACAGTGTTTGTGTAAATGTATGTGTCGTAATGTAAAACCTCTCAGCAAATAGAAAAATGCTGTTAATGATTGACCATGAGGAATATCCACAAGCAAAGGAATACGTGGATTTACTGCCTTAATCAGAACTTGGGCAGTCTATTCTAAAACTATTCTAAAAGGAAATTACACTGTTTCTTTAGAATAAACAAACATTAGTGGACTCAACCAGCTTATTTATACTGGATATACGCCATTCTCCCTCTCTATATGTCTATATTGACTTATGTTCGCACAATAGCAGAGGAATCTGGTGAGAGGCCCCAAAGAATAACTGTAGATACTATTATTCATCTTCCAAAATCTTAAAATTAAAGTCAGGCTTTCATTTTTTAAGCTCTAAAAAGCTCTACTAAGTAGGAAACATTGTCTCATTTACAGTAAGTTATTAGAAATGCACTTATCGCCTTCACTCCACCCCCAGTGAACACTCCTTTATCCTGAAAAATATGTGTTCCTCTGTGGGTTACCTATTGGACTAAAAAGGACGTCACGGAAGAGACTCTCTAGTTTTTTATACACCATCTAAAATACAAAACAATGAATCAATGTACGAACATTGATAAAAATCCACTAGGTGTCTCTACAGGACCACTAAACTAATATTGTGTTATATATTGATATATCACATATCAACAATTTTATTTAAATAAATTATTATAGATGAACCAATTGATATACTTTGTCATTACTTACACTTCTGATACTCGGTTTAAATTTTTTTGAAAATATTGTATTTTTTCTTTAATCACATTTTTATGCAGAGTGTTTATATGCAAACGTATTGCTACTTTTACTTAAGTTAAAATGCTGACTACTTCTCGCCCCACTATTTGTTCTACAATTATTATTTTGCAACATCTGAAAAAGTCTAAAAGTCCACACAGATGTTTTCACAATTGAGACCGGATTTGAACTCTTCTCCGGGGGACATTCTGTGCACGACTGGCTGCTCCCTCCTCTCATGTGGCATAACGTACATTGTTGTCACTTTTATCGCCCTGTATAGTTAGTTGACATCGGGTCATTTCCAGCATAGCTGGATAAGCTAAGAAACATCTCTATACTAAGTACATCTTACCCCAATTATAAACTAATCCAATTAAGAGGACAATTAAGTAATTCGATCCTGTAATTAAATGGCCTTAAATCCACTAATCTAATGTGCACTGTGATTGGTTTACTGAAGGTGGAATTGCAGCCGGTGGACGAATATCTCACAACTCAATGTACACAGGACTGAAATGTACTCAAAAATCAGTGTGTACAGGCGGCCAAAGTATAAACGTGTTCTTTTTTTGTGTTAATGTTCCACATCAGAATAACCAAATTAAAAATACACACTAGTGACCACTGCAGCCTTCGCCGAAAATGTAACACCACTAGTGGGTACCGTAACTCCACATTGGACTAAGTCCAGGTTTCTGTGTCAGATAAAGTGTTCAAATATACGGCACAAATCCATCATATTTACATGACATTTGATTCAGCCAAGGTTTTGTGTCTGTTTCTACCAACCACAAAATCTGAGCCATGACGCTTTTCAAAACCATCCAACATTGTAAACACATTAACAAAACACATTTTTTAACTTCAATTTAATTTTCTCTGTGTTGTAGTAATATATCATAGTTCACCGTCACACTGTTATTGTTTACTTGGGCACCTGAAGAGAGTCATGGATGAGTGCTTCTCCTTCAGTGACAGATTAAATATGTCTGCTGTGAAATGTGTTATGAGAATATACTTTTCAGCTTCTCAGAAAGTTCAGTGAAACTCGCCAACACTTTAGTGAGCAATGAAAGGACAATAAGTCCAGAAAATGTAACGAAAATGCCGTAATCTGTCGTTGATTCAAAAAGTGTGTGCATTAGGAAACAAAACCTCACTTTCCAAGGAGTCAACATTTAATGATTCAAGTGAAAAAATCAACATAATTGAAAGGTATTAGTTTAAGAGGAATACTGTTAGATATCCAGTAATCGAGGGCCAAAGTCTCGACATAGACAGTCGGCCTTCGACCTACGGCTCTGTCAATGTCACACAGGGTCCGGGGATCAGACCCGAAACCACAATGGCGCGAGTCCTTCCCCCCTTGTAAAGGGGTCAATGCAAGTTATCAGTGCAAAACATGTAAAATATGTTAAAGTCCGTACTGCTTTACTATGTTTATTGTCAAGAGCATGAGGACCAGCAGAATACACACTTTAAGTATATGTTGGCCACAAGGTGGCAAAGTAGTGCAAGACTGCTGAAATGGTGCATGACTCTAATGTGCATGGGGAGAAGAAACCAAACAGCCTGTTGCAGCACAAACCGGATCACAGAGTCGGAATATTGTCTCAGTCTTTGAAATGTACCTAGTTTCATTTCATTAGGGTTAGGGTTAGGGTTAATTAATTTCTTGCCTTTTTTTCCATGAAACTGCTTTTGTTCGGCCTGTTGTATGCATTCGCAGCACAAGCAAAAATAAGGAGCTTATGTTTTTTAGCTTGTAGGAAATCCAATTTTTTGAGTAACAGTGGGAAATTTGATCAAATGTCTCACCGTTGCAGAAATACCGGTGAAGTTTGTCAACTGTGAAGCCAATAAACACGGCGACACAGAATGGCACCTTAGCTGCATAGAATGCTAATGCTAACAGTTTACCAAAAGCTTTCCGTCTCTCAAAATGATCTGCTTCCAGGACCGGATGGGATTAAATAGAAACTGAAGGCTGAAGCCCTTTAGCTGCCATTTTTCTTATCATCATCATGTGAGAGAGAACTTTCAGAGTCTCATTCAGTCTGTCATCCATATTAAACTAATTATGCCTTAACTCCAGGAACGTTTTGGCTTTCCAGACCCAATTATCTTCAACCATTTGCCTTTTCTTTGTGAGGTAAATCCCACCAACTGAAAGAAACATTTAAACACTTACACTAAACTACATTTTGAACTAGTGCTTACCTCGGTTTTAGTCTCTCATACCAATTACCGGTATGTAATTTATGCACCCAAGGTGGATTCTCACCTCCCTCTTAAACTTCTTATGGAGGGTTTATAAAAAAGGAAAAAGAGTGCCAACGATGTAATCTAAGCATGTTGCTTCGAAGACCCTTTTCTTAAGTGTTTTTTTGTTTATTAAAGCCCGTTATTGTGAATGTGAGCATGATTGGCTGGCCGTCTCTATGTGCCCTGACCAGGGGGCAACCTGCCTTCACCCAATGTCACCTGGAAACGGCTCCAGCTGCCTTCTGGCTGCATGAGACTCCAATTGCAACCACTTGGGTGTATCAGAGAGCTCACTTGTATGAGGGAACCGATCATGCAAGTATATTTAGCACTGGTATTGACTGCCAAATATTAACATCAAACACTGGAAGGGATAAACAACCCAATTTCTTTCTTGGATAAGGGTTTTATATCCCCCAGATAAATAGCATTATTATTATTAAATAAGGGACTCAGAAAAAAAATGAAAGTCTATTCGATTCTAATTCTAATTCAATCCATCTTAAAAATAGTCAGCAATACAATCTTCAATCAACTTCTCACATGAAACAGTAGAACAGAATTTTCGTGGCAGCCTAGTGAGAACTACTTCAGCAGTCCTGCCTGTGCGCATGTTTGCCTTGTATCAGTGCCTAGGGACATGCATCATGCGAGCACAAAGTTAAACAAACTGAAATAAGATTTGCTCAACATGCAGCAGGCGCTTTAATGCGCTCATTATTTTGGTTATTGTTTTTGCACTTTTATAATATGTCTTTTATTTTTTAAGCAGATGTTTTGAGTTTTCATAGCTGGAAAAGCACAGGGGGGAACTAATAATGTCAACGGCTGCTCGACGGTGGTTTTCCAGTAAACCCAGACGTTGAGTGAGCGTGCACAATTTCTGTACTCAACTAGGTGAAAGACAGCCAAATGTTATTAGTTGTACATGTGCGCCTCCTGCTGCGACATGTCAGAATGATTGCTATGAAAAATACCTGTGTTGTACAAGAGACCTAATTGGGTCGCAGTGACCCTGGGGCTATTGTAGTGCCTTCTTACTTACCTAAAATAAAAATGAAATAATAGATAGCAATAGTAAAAAATAAAATATTTGCTATGGTCTTCATACATTTAGTTAATCAATTAATTGATTGTAATCCTAGTTTTTCTGTTAAATTTATTAATTTCCTCATCAGATTATTCATCCTAAACCACTAAGAAATTGGAATGTTCGGAATTAATTTAATCATTTAACTACTGAAAATAAAATTATAATTTAAACTGACTGTATTGTGTTATTTTGAAAAACTTTGACCGGAGTAGGTTCCAAAAGGAGTGGTGGGAAATTGGAGGATTTTAACATAAAAAACCTATGTTGCCCTATCCAGGGACAGCAGAAATAAACACGCCCTGCTGGAACATTTGTTGCATTACAGATGTTTGCGTACTGCTGTTAAAACCTGGACCCGATCCAGACATGTGACAACACGTGTGAGTTGCTGCGTTTACTCCCATGCACACGAACATAAGCTTTTTGACTGTCAAGTGAAAAGTTCAACCGAACCCTCAGATAGACATTTCGTGAGGTCTTGGGACATAAAGTCTCATCTCACTGTCCTCACCGGCGTCACAGTTTGGCTTTGTGCCCGCTGACGTCTCGTGTGAGTAGAGTGTTGTGTCTTTTGAACATCTTTTTCTAGAGGATTTAATACTTTTGTAGTTTTTGTTGAATCACGCCATTCATCAAGGTTGAGGTGTTTCCTGTTTTTTTTGTTGTAAATTCACTCTCCCTTTGAACCCTGTCTGGTTCTACTGCTCTGCCTTTTGGG